AGGGGGATCCTCAGACTTCTGGGCCCAGTCCTCAGGCATCACCAGAGCCATTAAGGGGAAAGGTGTGGCTGTTTGGACATCTCAATAAAGGAGGGGACAGGAGGTTGTCAGAAAGGTGAGCAGTATAAAAGCAGGGACTTAAGCGCTCTGCCTACAAGGACCCTGAGGTGCATGGGGGAGGGCAGCAAAGGGTGAGAGATGAGAGGAGCTGGTCACTGCTGCTTCTAGCTGGAGGAAATCCCGTTTGAAGAGTCTATTTATTCTGCATGAATGGCCACTGGCCAAAGAAAATGGAAACTCTGTCTTCAGGGTTTTCTTGGGGCTGGGGGCTGGGGTGCTGAGGTAGGCTGAGGGCTTTGCTGCGGGAAAGAATGCAGAGCCCAGATGTTGCCTTCACTGGAGTCTTTGCCATTTTCATTTGCAAGGACAGGATTGCTATGACTTGTCCCCTCTTCCTGATACTTAACTCTTAATGTAACTAATTTGCACCGCTCCGATTTCACAGATAAAAAGGGAGAAATCTGTTTTCCTTTCTGCAGCGACACCCTCCTCTCTCACTTTGTTTGCATCCCTGCTCCTCTGCCTGCTGGTTCCAGTAATCCAAGCATTTATATGGCTCATTAAGCGCGTTGCACTCTCTGCAGCGCGGATGTAAGGATGTAATTAGGGTCAGAATCCATCTTCTCTGCACTCTAAGGACAGGGTGGCAGGGCCTCTTGCTCAAGACTCAGTGGAGGCAGCATGAGTTGGCAAGACCAGAGAAAGGAAGGGCTTCTGGAGGACAGAGCATGCGGGTTGGAGGGGGCAGCAAGCTGAGCTTGGCTGGCAGGACCTCAAGGTGCCAGGCTCAGGTGGGCCTTCAGTGGCTGTGCCCACTCCGTACAGCTGACAATGACTTAAAGCAAGCCTCCTCGCAGTAACACAGGGTACTTGCCACCTTGTCTGTGGGTAGAGATGCCAGGTTATGGAGATCTATTGTTCACACTGTATTTTCATTTCAGAACAGAGACTTAGAAAGCTGAATCCAAGAGGTCCTGTTATATTTTAAAGACAACCATGGAGCAGAGGGAGTCATGGCTTATCTGTAGCAAAGTGGAGACCAGAACCCAGTTTTCCTTGTTGCTCCTGGTATTGGTCTCCTCTCTACATTCTGCTGTCTTTTCAGTCCCTGCAGTTGCTGGGGCGACAGAAAGTACACAAGCTAAGATGTCACTTTGAGTAGGCACACTGCCCCTGTGATCTAGCCAATCAGTGTGGCTTTTGAAGGGACAATAACTAGTGTTTGAGAAACCAAGTTCTCATACGGAGGCCAAACACTGATCCAACTATGGTTGTCTCCCACCTACCAATGTCCCTGTCACAGTTTACGCAGTCACTTCCTGCTTCAGCCCACTCACCACCCCACCGTCCCCATTGTTTCTGACTTCTCTGAATTGGCTTTTATCCCATCTTTCTTTGTTCTCTGCATGCAGACAGGATATGTATGGGAGATGTGACTGTGTAAGGGGTCTGTTACGAAAGTGTTATCTGGCTTCATGGTACACAGTCCAAGGGTTTCAAAAAATGAAACTTACAGTCTTTGAGGGCAAACACCAATGCATGCCTGGGAATATGCTGTGTGTGTGTGTGTGTGTGTGTGTGTTGGATATATGTATATACGTGTATATTGATTGTAAATGTAAAAATGTTCTTTAAAATAATGGGCTTAGACTTAGGGGGAAGAAGTGAGAGTGTGTGTGGGAAATAGGTATAACCAGGCTGATTGTTTACTAGTCTACCTAGAAGGCGATCCGCCCAAATCTGTGATGAATTACCAAGCAGTGTGAGTTGTAATGAAATAGAAAGAGCTGAGACACTGGAACCAGACACATGGGCTTAATTCCAACTCAAGCAATTACAAGCCAGTGTGAGTTGAATAATCTGTTTCACCTATCAAATCCTTCCTCTGCAAAGTTGGGATAAATATACTATTTAATTCCTAGAGTCATTCAATGAAGTAAAGCATGGGGGACACTCAGCATAGTGGCCCCTGTAGGTAATAAATGATAAGTAATATTTTGCACAATTGGAGGAGGGTATTGAGGACCAGAAACAACATTCATGGACATCAGAAAGAGTTTGTGAACTGGACAGCATCCCTTTAACCTGGTGTTGAAGCGACTGCCACTCAGGCAGAGTATCAGAGAATTCATCTTTGTGGGGACCATGCAGAACATCATAGCCAAACGCTTTCACTGATGAAAATCCCAGAGTGCACCAAATTGATTTTCCCAAAACCATTCAGAGTGAGCAGCAGAACCTGGCTCCGACTCCTAGGCTCTATTCTGTTGTCACATTTCATTCCTGAGCTGAACTCCAGTCCCCAGTATCACCAACCCAACCCTCCAGTCTCTGCATATAGGCATTCATTCATTCAACACAAATCTCCTGACCGGCTACTGTGTTAAGTTTTAAGAATCAACCCAGACATGGTCCCTAAGCTCATGGAGCACAGAGGCTGAAGCAGAAAAAAGTTTTTGATGAAAGAAATGAAGTAAATGGAATGAAGTATCACTGCAACTAGAAGGTGAAGTCTATAGACTGAGGGTTCTCTCTGAGCATCACTGTTGCATCCTTATCACTCTGAGAAGCTGGCTCATCCCCGGTCCTGAGGAACATTAGTGGAGAGAAGGCTGTCGAAAGCACTTGTTAGTGCAGCATTTAGAAGTGTGATAGGGAGCATGTATAACAGGGGACTAACATCCCCTCTGAGGTCAGGGAAGGCTTCCTTCCAGAAGGGATGCTGAAAGGGGAGTGGGCACTAACCGGATGAAGCGAGATAGGGCTAGAGATGGTGCGGTCAGTGAAAGTGGACAGGAGGCTCTAAAGGAGAGGAAAGCACAACCCCAGCTGAGCAATACAGGCAGCCGTATCAAGGGCAGCAGAGATAAGATGGATCACGGAAAACACTGGCAAATGCCAGCGAGAACTACAGAACTTTCTATTGATACAATAGTTCTCAGTCTGGCATACCTCTGTGAGCAGCATTGTATTATTAACAATTCACAATGACAGGCCAGGAAGAATTGTCCCAACTTTAGCAGAGTAACTGAAGTCTTTGTGTGTTGTCAGTCACATATCTAAACACATGTGGGACTCTATCCATATGCATGACCTTATTTGGCACTCTCATCAGCCTTTAAAGGCAGATATTAAGATCCTGATACCATACATGGGGAAAGTGAGGCTCAGCATGGTTAACTAGCTAGAACGTGGTTGGCCAACTTGGGATATAAAGATATGTCTTTCCTAGCAACTGAATTGTACCGCTGCCTCCTGCCCCCAACTCATATGTTGAAGCTATAAGTCTCCAGTGTGTATTTGGAGATGAAAACCATAAAAAAATAATTAAGATTCAAGAGATTGAAGGGTAGGACTTTCATTCATCGGGGTTATTGTACTAATAAGAAGACACACCAGAGAACAATCATCTCTCTCTCTCTCTCCCTCCTTCCCTCTCTTTCTCATCTTCTTTCCCTCTCTCTAATCCTCTTTCTCTCTTTCCCTTTCTTCATTTGTTTCCTTTATCCCTCCTCCCCTTTATCTCTCCCCCTCTATATCCACCTCTATCTCTCTCTCTCCAAAGATGTTCAGAAGAAAGTCATGTGAGGACAAATTAGCCATCTAAAAGCCAGGAAGAGAGCTCTTATCAAAAATAGTTTTGGCCTCCAGAATTCTGATAAAATAAATTTATGTTGTTTAAGGCATTGGCCTACAATATTTTGTTATGGCAGCCCTAGAAAATTGATATAGTCTCAATATACTATATCTGCTGTTGTTATCTGTTATGACACACCTCTTTCCTTAGTTCATGATAAAGATGCACCAGAACCTGGATCATCTAGTGGTCAGACCTAGGCTTCTTCCGTTGGCCCTATTTCCTGTCACTGACACCACTAACGAAGGGGGTGACATCAGGGTCAATGGCTGAGCACTCTAACCACACCCTCTCCTCTTGGTTTTATCAAGACCAAGGATTGACAGTCATAGACCTCAAGGTGTGGGCAGAGCAAGTGGCCTGTGACTGTCCCAGATGCAGCGCTGTGAAAAGATACTCACAGAGTGGTTCCAGGTCTGGGAAAGGCAAATTCAGCACTTTCTATGTGACTGAGAGTGATCATAAAAAAGAGGGGCTCTGAGGCTCTGCCTCTGCAGGCAGATCTGGGTACCACTTGCTGCTTCATCTAAATGTCTCCCTCTCTAGCCCCTGGGTGAACACCAGCATCTGATGAAGGGCCCAGTGTGGATTCACTAGCTATGTGTATTTCAGTGTTGCCTGACCTCTTTTTTTCTCCTTTTAACTTGTCTTTATTTATTTATTTTATTTTTCTGGATACCTCACAATTTCTTTTTTTTCTTTTTTTAAATTTATTTTTTTATTTCAAAATAAAAAAAATGGGGTGAATAACCTGTCTGCACAACACTAACATGATGTCTAGAAATCAGTAGATATTATTACTATTATTAATGACTCTAAGCACTTCTACTTTACAATGAAGATTTTAGAATTGAGTCTTTAGCCCATTTTGCCTTGGGTTGAAAGTATAAAACATTCCTACGATGGTGACTTCCCCATGGAAACAATAATCTGATCATCAATTTGGTCTCTGGGCTGGGTTGCTCTTAGTGCTGCTGTGTACAGAAATAGCAGCAGAATGGTCATCCTTTTTAAAGGCCACCAAGTAGAAGGTATTTTTGTTGTTATTGTTGTTTGGGAAGTGGGGGGTAGGGGAGGGTCAGGATCCTTTCCCTGAAACACATAATGGCATTTCATATATGTGCATGTAAAAGCCATCAAGGTCTACATGCTTGCTACTTAAATCCCAAATCCCTAGAGTCTATCTACTATGGAGAAATCAATCAGGGAGGTGGAGCAGGCAAGCCTGTCTCTGAAGTAGGCTCAAGTTCAAAAGCATAGGCATTCAGGCAGGCAGAGGAAGGAAGGAACATGCGGTACCCACCTGCCACTGCTGATGAGGGGCTTATTTCTAAGACACACACAGCACAATGCACACACCATGCAGAGAGAAAACAAAAGACATAGATCACACATTTCAGATGGTTGGTGGACGCCATTTAGTCCATGTCAATGCCGAAAGCTTTTGCAGTGTCTGATGTGCACATGGGAAAATGAATACCTTTTCGTTCTACTCACCAGATGCTTCCCTCCAACCACATCTCAGCAAATAAACAAATACATACACACAAGAAGTCACAACAAGCTGGCCCTGATCCGTGGTGTGAAACGTGGCACAAAGGAGATGGACACGGCAGTGTGGGAAGATTTAGTGAGAGAAGGACAGGGTTTCCTAGGGAGGCCGCCATGGCTCTGGAGAGCTCTCTACGTGTGGGAGAGAAAGGCCTCCAGAGAAAGGCTTTGGTGCTCCCATTTTGGACAGAACAGTCCTCATGAGGAGGACTCAGAGGGCTGCTCTGTTCCTTCCGATGAATGAGAACATGACACGGCAATCAACACGAGAATCATGATGGCAGCGGTTGACTTGGCTTAAAACTATAAATACAACCACCCTCCAAAATCATAGACTCTTACTAGAGAGGTTACCTGAAAATTATATCTCATTTACCTTGAAGATATTTCCATAGCACTACACCTGAACTGTCCCCGTGCTCTGTGCTTTTAGGGCAACCACCATCAAACTTGGGTTTGACTTGGGTTTACCCCGTTTGGTGAGGTGCAAACCTTGCCTTTCAGTAGAACGGGAGATAGATACACCACTGTTCCACGTGTGAGGAGAGTGACGGGGGGAGCGTTTTATATCTAAGGGTGGTGGGTTGAGCGGTATGGATGGACATAGGCCAAGCAGCTCATGCCTTCCTCCCTCAAGTCCCTCAAGCCCCTCCTGTGGCCGAGCCCAAGCACTCAGGCTTCCCGCACTCACCATACAGTGTGATGCTGGTGTTGGTGTTCCCGAGCTTGTTTGTGGCCACACAAGTATAGTTGCCATAATCCTTTTCTGAAACATTGAAGAAAGTCAGAGTGGATATGCGCCCTTTATTCTCAATCCTCACGCCGTCCAGGCCGGTGGCTAGCCTGCAACAGAGAAGGCACTGCTGGTCTACTTCTACACATAGAGTCAAACAGCGGACAGGAGGTGTTGGGAGAACTAAAATAACATAGGCTGATCCTACAAGGAGGCCTTTCTTGCTTCCAAACTCAATTTCCTAGGACCTGACCAGTTCCTGCACCTCGAACCAGAGGCACCATGGCTCTCATCAGTAGGAAAAAGAGAAGGAAGCTAACATTCCAAAGGCTACATTTACTGCCTCTCATCATCGAAGACTGCCATGTGTACAGCTAGCCTCAGATTTGGAAATAAGCTCATATTGCCCATTTTCCAGCTTCCTCTTTTTTTTTTTTTTTTTTTTTTTTTTTTTTTTTTTTTTTTTTTTGTCCTTATTTCTGGTTCTAAAGGAGCCTCTGTATAAATAAGGCAGTAAGACATCTTGGTCCCTCCCTTACTGCATCCCTTTCCTCCCATGTAGTAAGCGCTCCATCAGCTCTGCTCAGGCAGCCCTGTTTCCATCCTCATTGTACCTGGTGTCTTCCCTGAACCACTGGAACTCAGCGGCGGGCACGGCAGAGGCTTCACAGCTCAGGATGCCCTTCTGACCAACGGACACACCCATGTTCTTGGCTTTTGAGATATAGGGAGGGTCTGTGGGGAAAAGGCAAAGCGATGACATGACATGACATGGATAAAGGGCACATTCAGTCGCCCTGCTAACAGATGGATTTCTTTGGACATCTTGCCTTCCCAGTTAGATTACCAACTATTTTAGGGAAAAACCTGCTTACTTGAAGATATTGCCTTACCCCTGCATCTTCTTTAGGACTTTAAACCAACCCCAAGCTATCAATTCTTCCCATTGGCTAAGAGATGTGACAGTCACAGGAAGACTTGGATGGGGCACAGCAATCTAATCATTTTCCTGATGGAGATAACTGGGTCTATCAGAAAATAGCATTGCTGTTACCACCTTGCCCCCCAGAGACCCTCCTCTATTTTCCCCCTTCTGACAATGGTCAACTCACAGTTTACAGTGATTTTCACTTTCCGCACATCAGGAGCAGCCACATCGTTCAAGGCGCTGCATTCATACTCCCCGGACTGGTCACGTTTGATGTCAGAGATTTCCAGGTATTCATCCTCGCTCACAAAGCCCTGGCCTTCTGGGAGAAAAGGAGCAGACAGAAAGCAATCATGAACCTGCGAAACCAGGGACAGAGCACATTGGCATCTAGGACTGGGAGGAGGAGGGATCTGAAGCGCTGTAGAAAAGGGATTTAAACATCAAGAATATAAAACACCATGCTGGTCCACAATGATGGCATTTGAAGGAAGGACTTATCTGCTTGAGTCTTGGGTCTTTTGCCCAACTCACTTTAACTTTTTAGACTATTTGGTGAGAAGATATGTTTACTTATATGATTCCTATGAGGATAAACTAAAAGAGTTCATGTGAAACAGGACAGCACATTACTAGAATTTGATATTTTAGAGAATCACCATAGTTAATAACATAACAAAGACAGTGGGAGTAACTTTAGAGTATGTTAGTATGGCCACCTTAATTGTTTCACTATGTAGAAATGTCTCTGAATACAGAATACAAACTATTTCTTCATGCAGAACAAATAAGTGGCCACTTAACATGTTAATAGAAATAAATGTGCCAAATAGCTGGTTTGGTTTCAAATTGTGCAAGAGAAGATAAAGTAAAGAATGAATGAATAAGAAAGGACTTTGTGACTGCTATGTAGTAGGTGCGCTATAAACTCTTGCCAACATAAATGTGATAGCCCCAAATGATGGATCCACAGTTACTAGAATGGTGTCATGGATTAAATACCCAGCTTTGTCGGGGGCATTCTGGAGGCTTTATTCCTAGGCATTTGTGAAGCTTGTAATTCATGATCCAAAATATCTGGGGACTGCACAATGAACATTGCTTGCAGTCTCCATTGCATGCTCTTGCCACAGCCTGGCCCCTCTGCCATATTCCTATTCCCATGGCCAGTGGTTTAGTGCAAAGAGAACAGATGCTCTGTCTTGAAATACCCATGTTCTAAGTTTCGTTAAACAACCAGGCTCCAATGAAAACCCAGTTCGCACAAAGGCCAAGGAGATGTACACTGAGGGGCAAGATTATTATGATCTCTGAATGCATAATAATCTGGCACTCAGTGTATACCCTATATAATAATAGGCTAATATGCATATTGTCCCCTCAACCAGGAGTTTGACCAGCAGGCAGGTCAACCAACTGCCCATGTCCCAAATTCATGCACTGGGCCTCTAATATATATATACTGAGTGGCCAGATTCATGCACAGGGCCTCTAATTAATATATATATATGTGAATATATATATTCTGAGAGGCCACATTATTATTATTATGCATTCAGAGATCATAATAATCTGGCCTGGCCACTCAGTGTATAGCCTTTTGCATTTCTCAGAGGCCTGCTGCCTGATTCCTTTCTGTGTCCCAGGAGTTATAACAAAATACTTTTCAGGACTATACAAGCTCATCATACTTCCCTCACATTCCCACAGAAGCATCTGAGTTTGCGTCTACCATGAGTGGACTAGGAGGATATGGTGTGCTAGGACCCCGAGTGGTGTCCCGCATTTGTGAGTAAGAGAGTTCCTGGGTCCTTCATGGAGGAAGAGAGGAAATTCATTTTCACCATCTGTAATGCCGTGTTTATGGGATGGATATATGACAGCAGAAAGGAAGGAAGGAAGTGTTTCTTGTAAAGTGGGGATCATTACGATAATACTACCTCATTAGGTGAGAGCTGAATTTGTCAAGTTTGTGCTGTAAAGTGAGTGCTTCTCAGATTTTAATTTGCATATGAATTCTTCTAGGATTTAAAATATCAATATATAGAGGGAGATCTGAATCAGTGGGCCGAGAGGGGGCCCTGGGATTCTGTATTCATAACAAATTTCTCTGTGCTGTGGGTCTGAGGCCCACTCTGAGCAGTGAAGCTAAAAGGCACCGCCAACTGCTGCTCTAGGCTTCTCCTACTCACACCTGAGGGTCAACTGAGCCTGTTTGGTGACCAATAGGTCAACTAGGGTCTCTGAGTGCCCCCAGTGACGAGCTCTCTGCAGACCAGTAAATCAAGAACAGGGCTCGGAGGGTCCATGGAGGCTGAGTGTCTGAACCCAGAAAGCTACCATTCCCACCAAGTCTTTATGGTCTTACTCCAAAACACATGTCCTGCCAGCACAGCTCCTTTGCTAAGAAATGGGAGGTGGATGTTGAAGCTCCTCCCACCACAAGCCCATTGAAGGTGATAAGATGCTATTTTCTTATCTACTTTGAATCCTGGTGAGCTTTTCAAGCAGGACAAATCTAGGTTGCTAAGTGCCTGGAGACGTAGGAAACTGAAAGGTTTAATGCTCTCATGCCCTCTCCAGTTCTGGTTGCAATGTGCACTTCTGATTCCATGCCATAAAGCAAGGGGCAGAGGCAACATACATGTTCATTCACTTTGTTAGCTGCCAGGAAGCCATACCACTGACTATGGAGGCAAAGGGAGGTGGGGGGCACAGAGAAGCTCAGAGGGAGTAAGACAAATGGCAAGAGGAGGAGGAAGGTTGCACTGGGTGAGAAAGGGAGGAAAGGCAGCTGCAGGAAAAGTGGCCTGATTGCCATGGGAAACATTCTGAAGACACATTCAGAGGGATTTGAAAAAGCTTCGCTGCAAGACCACAATATGTTCTCTGGCAGAAGGTAGGAAAACAGGAGCTCCCAATGTGCCTGCCGTGCTGCTTCTTGGTGAGATGTCCTGTAACAAGCCAATAACCCAGAGGCAGTATCCATGTGCCTGACATGTTCAGACACCCCATACAACGTGAGTGCGGGCAAAAGGAAGTGACTGAACACTGGAAGAAATATAATAAAAAAGAGGGACCATTTCTTTCCAAGGAGGAGCACTTCCAAGAAAAGTTCAATTCCCTGTATTAGCAAGATTAAGATCTGCAAGGACTCAAATGAGACCATTTATCAGGGGACGTGGGAGGTCCCTGGGCCAGGACCCCTCAGAAGCAGGGCACATGCTGGGGGGCAGGGTTCTGTGGGCACCAGGGATTTCTTCTCCAGGGAACCATACTATGACTTCACACAGTCATAGAATGCAAAGGACAAGTCCAGGCTGGGCAGGGACTACTCTATCTCAGAAAGGGAGGAGCGAGGAACTGTCTCAGGGAAGGAGCCTAGAGCAGTCTGTGGCCCTGACCTCTCACCCACACAACAGAGTTGAGTTAGATGCTGTGGGGGTAGAGAGGGCATGGACGACAAGGACCTTGACCCTGGATAGTCTACAGTCCCACCAGCCCAAACTGGGGCAGTTTATATTTTCCTGTCCCTGAGCTCACTTTTTAAATTCTTAATTGTCTTTAGCTCCCCCAAGGGCCATTAGAGCTAAATGAAACCCAAGCATTTAGGGATGAAGAGATTCAATAGGAAATTCAGGGAAAATTCTGGAAGCTTCCTGACCCAGCCCTTCTCTCCTTTCCAGCTGTCCTCCCATGCCAGCTGCCTCTGGGCCATAGCTTTTTTCTTTGTCCAATGCTTTTTTTCTTTGGTCTCAGCCAATTCCTTGGGATTATAGAGTTGAAAGGATGATAAGGGTCAAAGGTGTCACCTTCTACTTTAGGGGATTATTATCCCTAGCAGAATATCTTCCCCTAGGGATGGCTTCAGGGGCTGGCCTACTTCTCCTATGCTAAATGATTCACACAGTGTAGAAAATTGTCCTCCTAAGGGGGGCAATCCCTGCCTGGCAAACCCTTTGAAGTGATTAAAAGTTGCCCCCAGCCCACCATCCCTTGTCATGAGTCATGGAAAGCAGCTGATCTGCCTACAGAAGTTACTTGGTGAGGTTAAATGTCAGCACCCATCACAGCTTTTCCCAGGAGACCGGTCAGTTGGTGACTCAGTGGCACATGCCTGGGTGCAGGTGCTGTAGAGAAAATGAGCAGGGATATGAGGACGGGGAGAGGAGGACCAGAGTTCAAGGAGGCATCTACTCAGAGAAGAGAAGGCAAGGGGGAGAAATGCCATAGGAAGAACTTGGATAAACAAGAAAGCTGGAGGGGAACACCAGCAGCCAGAAGGAAGCCAGTGCAGGGGTGGTGGTGGTGGGAGGTTAATCTGGCTCAAATGCTAGAATTTCTGAAAATGCAAGAAATTTGCCTACTGTCGTAACCTGTTTGGCTTAGTGGATAGAGCATCAGCCTGTGGACTCAAGGGTCCCAGGTTGGCTTTACCATCGCCAAGCTGGCTGACAATCGGGCTTGCTTAGCATCCAAGGCTGATACAGCCCTTGCCTTTCACTCTGTGAACTGAAGACGATATCTAGACTTGCGCAGCAGGAATACTTGTGCAGCAGTGCTCAGTCACAGGCCAAAAGCTGGACCTGAGCGTATGGCCTGCATTGCAATGGGGAGCCAGAATGAGGGGGGCCCTTGAGACCCCAGCAGAGGAGCATCAGGAAGGTGATGGAATATGAGGAGTGCCATCTTCACTTGTAGATGATTCTCTTATCTCTGCTTAAATGAGCAAATAAACTTTCCAATTACAATTGTTACCCATCATCCCTGGGGGAGACTGGAAGAGGCCTTTTCCTCCCAGGGAGGTTGGGGGCGGGGTTCTATTCCAGAAAGCAGGAGCTGGAGATCTGCTTTCTCACTCCTTCCTGGAGATCTCCTGGCCCTTTCTCATTCACATCCCTCTTGACACAGGAGCCTTCTTCTTCTGGAGAATAGGAACATTAGAAACATCCTTGAGGTGGATCTGGGGCAAGGTTTCAACACTTAGGACAATTTGGTTGCCATGAGCTCAGTATTTGTTGCTTGAGCTTGCTTTCTATACAGCATTCATCCCATTGTCCAAATTGCAAACACACTGAGAAGGAATTGCACTTTTTCCTTTGAACTCGTTGGGCATCTAGTGTAAGATAAACTTATAGTATTTGTTCACTCTACTGATGGCTACAGGCTTGGGAACTCTGAACCCATTGCTACCTTCTATCCTCCCCCCAAAAAAAACTATCCCTCTCCACTTACTTAATCTATCCTGTTTCTGCCAGTTCCTACCCTCTACCCCTTGACTCTCCTTAGAGCACTGCTGGCAATAAGCACCTCGGGGCTCCC